TTACAATAATTTACATGAAACAAAAATTGTATTTATTGCAGGGATTTTTTAACAAAGGGAACAGGGCGCAGCACCCTCATGCCATGGCCATGCGCCCCCTTACCCTGTCTGATAGTAATTTTGGCCCCAAAGAAGCCATAGAATGGTCTATTTTAACTTAGAATTAACAAGTCATTGAAAATGACACAGTCCCCGTTAAGTTCTCTTTGTGCTCATCATATTAAAGCGGAGGGGTTGTCGCGAGCGTGTCCTTGAAACTTGAGTTCCAAGTGGCGTATACAACAGATTGTTTATTTACATCAAAACACGTGTTTCGTGTCATAGTAATATGGCCAAAATAAAAACAGCCATTATGCAGCCATCTTTGATCTGATTATGAAACACACTGATATGTATGATGTATGTGCCAAATACGAATGAAAATGGTACATAAATTGTGGAAATATAGTAGTAAGGCCAAAAAGTCAGATGGCTGTCAATCGGCCATCCTTGACCAGATTTTGAAACAAATTGTCATGAACATGTATCCTGACATGTATAAATTATGTACCAAGTTTGAATTTTTAATCGTATCGCTAAAAAACTGCATGTGCATATGTCTCACATAAAGTACTAGGCACATTCGAAGAATGAACGGAATCGGTCCAAAGGATTCTGAAATATGACTCTGGACGGATGGACGCATGCACAGAAAGATGCACGGAAAGACGCACAGATGGATGCACGGACGGTCGGAAAAACATGAATCCTAGCATGTATATTCTATGTACCAAATTTGAATGAAAACTAACAAAGCATGTCCAAAATAAGACATTTTTAAAAAACAAGACGGCTGCCAGTCGGCCATTTTGAATCGAATCGCTAAACCACTGCATGTGCATATGTCCCACATGAGGTACTAGGCACATGCGAAGAATGAACTGAATCGGTACAAAGGATTCTGAAATATGACTCCAGACGGACGCAGGCACGGACGGAGACCAAATTATAAGTCCCCGTTATCAGACATCGTCCGAATGGGAACAAATAAAATTATGCATACTAATAAGGTCACATGACCATATGTAGTCATCTAATAATTAGACATATCTCTTATTTGTTGCCTCTATAATAGCTCTAGTTGCATGTCGCTATCTGCAGAAGTAAGATAATAAAATTATGCATACTAATAAGGTCACATGACCATATGTAGTCATCTAATAATTAGACTCATCTCTTATTTGTTGTCTCTATAATAGCTCTGGTTGCATGTCACTATCTGCAGCAGTAAGATAATAAAATTATGCATACTAATAAGGTCACATGACCATATGTAGTCATCTAATAATTAGACTCATCTCTTATTTGTTGCCTCTATAATAGCTCTGGTTGCATGTCACTATCTGCAGCAGTGAATAATACATTACAGGTACGCATATTAATGAGGTTACATGAACCCATTTATACAAATTAGGTCATTAGTATGCAAACTAGCAGTCTGTCGGCTGATATAGCTCCGTTGTTTGTGAAGCATGCTCTGAAAGCAATGACTAAGAAGCAATTTAAACTTAATGCTAGCTGCTTTAATATCGCAAGACACTGACTTTCTTGACTATGTTGCAGAGAATATTTCACTAAAAGTAGAGAATTGAAGATATCTTTATGTAATGGACAAATCTAATAGAGGTCTACCAAAGCTGCATGTGTACAAGTATCAAAGAATTTGGACTACTGGTTTTGAAGGACAAGTCAAAAATATGTTTTTTGATAAAAAATAGAGAATTGAAGATGTTGACAGGAAGTGAACAAATCTGATATAGTTCCACCCATGATACATGTACATATACACCAAGAATCATGGCATTCAGGTTAAAAATTTTGAAGAAGTCGGAAATATCATTTTTGAGCCAAAAATGACAAACCTATTTGCTGAAAATAGAGAATTCAAGATATGGTTACGAAATGAACTAATCTGACAGAGGTCCACCTGATATACCTACATATACATAATCAAAGAAATTGAAAAAGCGGTTTTCAAAGAGAAGTCGAAAATATAATTTTTTTACCAAAAATGACTAAAATATTCATCAAAATTACAGAGTTGAAAATATTGTCACAAAATCAACAAATCTGACAGAGGTCCACCTGATATACCTACATATACAATATCAAAGCAATTGGACAAGCAGTTTTCAAGAAGTCGAAAATATAATTTTTTACCAAAAATGACAAAAATATTCATCAAAATTAGAGAAATGAACAAATCTGAGAGAGGTTCACCCAAGGTACCTACATACCGAGTATCAAAGCATTTGGGCTAGCAGTTTTCAAGAAGAAGTATAGCATTTTTGACCAAAAATGACAAAACTATTTGCTATAAATAAGACAATTGAACATGTCCACACGAAATGAACAAATCTGAGAGAGAACCACTAAAGGTACCTTCCTAGAAAGTTTCACAGCTATGCAGCTGGTGGTTTTTAAGAAGAAGTCAAAAATGTAAAGTTGGCGATGGCGACGGCGGCGGACAATGAACGCTGACCGCCAATCAGTAATACTATCAGCTTTGTCGACAGCGGAGCTAAGAATCTGATGAGTGTTGAGATACTGGTTGAAAAGCTTACAATTGGTTATATGCAATTAAATTATTAAGATGCACAGATTTCAACAAAAAAGTACCGGTAATCAGTTGCATTAAAAGCTGTTGAATTGAGAAAAAAGTGAAAATGCTTAAAATTAGCTAATTAATATGCAAATTAGGTCATTAATATGCAAGAATTTTAACCTTGAAGTAAACAGATCTGTGAGTTATCCAAAAGCACCTACAATGTATCTACCATGTTTCATTGAAATTTGATGAGTTGTACTTCAAGATACATGTGAAAAAACCTATAAATTGCAAATTAGGTAATTAGTAAGTATAAAATTTAACCTCAAACTGAACATGTATATGGCTTATCCCAGAGCACCAAGAGCACCAGGTTTCATTGAAATTGGTTCTTGAGATGTCAGTGGAACAGATAGACAAAGTAGAATATACACAGACTTACATCAAAGATACCGGAGCAGTTGATTCCCATACAGTTATCATTCTTAACACATGTAAAATTAGAATCTGGTAACTGGGAAAGCAGGTAGTCCATATGCATGCATTGTGCTGGTTTTAAACGTGGATCTACAAGAATAAAATTATAATAAACATGTCACTGCAAATACACAGTCCTCGTTAAATTTTTGAAAGTTCTCTTTGAGCTCGTCATATTAAATGGAAGGGCTGTCGTCAGCATGTAATTTTTTATAACGAAAAGTGTATTCTAAAAGAAGTAAAAACAAAAACAAATGCATTCTTGGTAGCAAATGATCTCGGTAACGGTCATGCTGCGTTTCACACAAGTGAATAACTTACTGTGGAAAACTTTATTTTCGCTGGAATTAATTTTCGCTGAAATGGCTTTTTGGGCATTTTGCTTGGAATTTATTTTCACTGATTTTTCATGAGCTTAATGTGAAATATAGGAAAAAAAGTATATTCGCTGGATTTTATTTTCACGGAATCATCCCCTCAGCGAAAATAGCGAAAATAAATTCCAAGCGAAAATAAAGTATTCTACAGTACTTGTTTTCGAAGTGTTACAATTGCTGATTATTACTCAGTAGTGATTACAATAACTTACAAAAAATAAATTTGTTGAATTGTTGTGAAAATTCAACTTAGTTTCACCGCAAGCAAATGATTTCGATCACATATAAACGCTTGATCCGATACGATATCTGCCATGTTTGTTAAAACATCTTTAGTGACTTGAAACTGTTTTTTGACCTGATAGGTCAAGTCGCTAATTAACCAATCAAAATGCTGGAAGGGGCCAATGTGAATAAATTACCATAGCTTATTTAAATATGTTAATGTAGTTCAGCAACCTCATAGTAAACGAAACACGGAAGAGATTTACTGTTGTTGTAGTGCGATCATTTGGCTTTGATTTTGATGGGAAAACGGCATGATTTTTTTTAAATCAAGAAATTAGTTGTTTTCAAAAGATAAGCTGAGCATTGAAGAATAATTTAACACTTTTGACGATAATAACAGCTCCTTGTCAAAACGCAGTTTACCCATTCACGCTGCCACAATAAACTTGTACTCTGGAATAAGCGTCAATGACTAAGGAAAACCTAAATTAGACTAAATCTAAGCATCAGATGTCATTGAAATGTTCGAAAAATTATGCCTTAATTTAAAATTAAATGGTATATCTTTTTCTGAAATATGTAGTGGCTGTTTAGTTTGTGAAAGTTTGGGGTGCGTCTTATATTGCAGGCTTTTTCCCCCGAGATCAGAACTTATTTCAACATGAAACAATGTCTCAAGTTAGGGGTGCGGCTTCTATTAAAGCTGCGGCCTCAAATATGATTTTTACGGTACTGTTATGCTATACAAAATCCTTAATATTTCTTACCAAGGTTTGGCCTTGCTGTACATGGTGGCGTTGGTATCAATTGATCTTCAATAAGTGGCTGGTCATATACAATTATATTCTCACTTAAACCCGCTTGTAATTTGATCTATGGAAACAAAGACAATTGATTTTAATAAAGATAACACACCACCAGTTGAAAGCCTCCACACAAATAAAAAATGAATGGGGAGAAAAACCAGTGTCAGCTGTCAATCTGTGAACCTACTGTTTTTTATCACATTTCCATTGATTCAGTTTTCCTCTATTTGGGGAAACAATGTATTAACATCATTCATGATTGTATAAGTCAGAGGTTGCACCTAATTGGGTGTAATTGCAAAGTTCAAATATGGCAACTCTTTGTGTCAAATTTTCTATGATTATGAGAAATAATTTGAAATTTAAATATGCCTCAGCAGATTTCTAAGAGATGCTATGTTTCTTTCTCTATTGCAAGCGAGATCAAAGTGTGTCAGCATGTAAGTTAGTATTTGAGTATGTAGGCATGTAAATATGTAAGTTAGTATTTAAGTATATAGGCATGTAAGTATGTAAGTTAGTACATGTATTTAAGTATGTAGGCATGTAAGTATGTAAGTTAGTATTTAAGTATGTTGGCATGCAAGTATGTAAGTTAGTATTTAAGTATGTAGGCATGCAAGTATGTAAGTTAGTATTTAAGTATGTAGGCATGTAAGTATGTAAGTTAGTATTTAAGTATGTTGGCATGCAAGTATGTAAGTTAGTATTTAAGTATGTAGGCATGTAAGTATGTAAGTTAGTATTTAAGTATGTAGGTATGTAAGTATGCAAGTATGCAAGTTAGTATTTAAGTATGTAGGCATGTAAGTATGTAAGTTAGTATTTAAGTATGTAGGCATGTAAGTCTATGTAAGCATGTAAGTATACAAGTATGTAAGAAGCAATTCTTACTCCAATAAGTAATCCTCCATCTACTTTCTGGAAATCAGTGACTATATAAACATTCATACCCATCAGAATATTGGATAAACCAGGAATATTGTCAATACCTAACAACAAAAAATAATTATATGGAATTAATCTACCAAATAATCAAATTGTGTGACTATCATAGCAATTATACACGTTATCTTAGACATGCACTTGTAGCCCCACATAACCCAGGGTATGGTCTTCTATCATGACTTGACCTCCCATTCGAGTCATAACACCACTGCCCCAGGGTAATGTCTTTTCCCATGAATTAATTGACCTCCCCTGTGGAGACAGCAGTCAGTCAGACAGACAGACAGACACACAGACAGACAGACACACAGACACACAGACAGACAGACAGACAGACACACATCCAGGGGGTATAGTCCACTCCAACCAACTTCACACTCACCCTCTTTGTCTGATCTTTTGAGTCAGTGACATACTTGTCTTGAGATGAAGACAATGCCCATAGTAGGCATAGTAGTAGTAGAGCATAGTAGGCCTTGACTCAACCTTGGTCATTGTATAAATCTCAGATAAAGTGCACCCCATGTACACAGTGCTTGGTATAATTCATTACTACTGTAGAATACTTTATTTTAGCAAGAATTAATTTTCATTGAAAAAGCTTTTTGGGTGTTTTGTTTGGAATTTATTTTCACTGATTTTTAATGAGTTGAATGTAAAGTATAGGAAAAAAAGTTTATTGACTGGATTTTATTTTCACTGAAGCATCCCTTCAGTGAAAAACGCGAAAATAAAGTATTCTACAGGGTATTAAAGGGGAACCGATACTATAAATAAGGGTCAAGATGGCCACCGTATAAATAGTATGCTAATCCGAACCAAGCAGCTAACATCGTGGCGGGAGCTCCGTGAAATATGCCATTTACGATGTTTGGAGATCAAGCTGTGGTTCCAAATACATATCCACGGGGGCATGAATATGTACGCTAGCGATTACACTTGTCTGGTTGGGCTTTTGATGTCTAAATGTTGTTATTTTCGGTCGAAACCTGGCGCGACCAGTGAAAATCACGAGTTTAAAATGGTGGCTAATGTATGCAAAATTCCTGTCAATCACAGTTTGAGTAAACGAAAATGTAAATCCTCTAGATGTTTATTCAATCTACAAAGAATGTTGGTTTACAAACAGCATTATCGTTACGTAGTTTGTCTATGTCTAACCACCTCCATGGTCTAACCATCGATAACACTGGGACATGACGATGTAAGACAGTAAACAATTTCAATAACATTAGGTTACGGGCTGTCGGATATCCATTGAAATAAATTGAATGTAGAAGTAGAAATCATTCGCGTGGTTTTAACTTCGCGGTGAGTCCAAAAGCGCAAAAATTTCCTGTTGGAATGTAAAACACAATACCCAAGTCAAAATCAAAGAAAGCTTAGAAAGAACTCCCGTGTGCTGAGAGTATTGAAGACACATTAAAAATTAATTCAAAATTACCTGTACATGAGATATTGATAGAAAAGCTGAAAACTAATTATGTACATCAGGTAACTAATATGAACAGAACAGAACAAAAAAATTATGAATTATTATGCTAATTAGAGAATTAATATGAACAAATTTTAACCCAAAATTTATCAGGCCTGTCTATTGTTCTAGAGCATTTATGTACCAAATTTTATTCAAATGTGATGATCAGTAATTGAGATATCAGTGTTAATTAATTATGTTAATTAAGTGATTAATAAGCATAAATATTTACCAAAAACTAATTGGGTTTCTGCATAGTTCTCTTTAAAAGTTTCATTAAAATCCAATTTGTGGTTCTTTATATACCAGTGAAACATTATGCAAATTAGGTAATTAATATCCAATTAAAACTAATTAGGTCTCTGCATAATCCTAGAAGATCTATGTAGCAAGTCTCATTGAAATATGATGATTAATACTTGATATATCAAGCGCTGAAAATTAATTAATTATGCA